TATTAGGTGTCCTGTTTAAAATAACAAAGTTAAAGACATTTCCGGTAAAACAGGAAGTATTATTTTGTTCAAAATAATTTAGGAAAAAAGTCTAAATCGTATAATTTACGCGATTAAAATTTTAAATCGATCTTTCGCGATTCCCTAGAAACTTCTAACTGACTACGTACGTGAAACACCCTGTATATTAAACGTAATTTATGTGTTATGCTATACTTAATTATTAATAAAAGATACAACAATATTTGTATAAAAATGAAAAAATGTACTAAACTAAACATTTACCGCTAATTCAAAGCTGATCCTGGCCACAGAAACATCATTTGCATGAAAAAGTCAATATATTAAATAATAGTCAAATATCAATACTTTAACGTGTTAAACTTAAATTTATAAAACAAAACCAGCGCCCCCTGTACGTTAAAATCTAAACAAAAGTTTTTTGATGGATTGTCATTTGAAGGATCTACATTTTGTCCAAATTTCAAATCGATACGTTTTGAAATAAAAAGTTTTTTTTTTAAAGTACTGCATTTAGATGTAGAAATAAGGTAAAAAAGTTTCAATCGATTTCTTAAACTCTTGCAAATCGACCGTTCGATCCTTTCGGGAAACCGTAGTTAAACGGCTAATTTTCGGACATATCCCAAGTAGCACAACTGGTTAATTAAACGTTAAATTTACTTTATGCCTGGTTAATTCATTTAAGTAATATACAGCGTTAAATTAACATAATGTAGTGGAAAATTGAATTATGGTAAACTTAAAGTTATGTTAGTTAAATTTAACTTCTTGGTTAATGTATACCTTTTGGTTAAAAATAAGGTAATAATCAGAAATCTAGTATTTTATAGATAAAGAGTACTAGAAGTAGAAACGCAGCCTTTTTATTGGTGGGATTATAAAGAAAACCCCGGGACCGAAATGTTAAAAATATTTAAAACCCATCTAAGCACTGTTTCTCAACAAGGGCCTAAAAACAAGTTGCCCTATTACCAGACTTTACTCTATTTCCTATTCAACTAATGAATTGAATCTAGAGAGGTTTTTAGTTCCGAATTATTTGAGAAAAATATCGAAGTGAACGAAGGATAATTGCAATTAAGGAAACAAGTAGAAAGACAATACAATTTAATGGGACTGATAATAGTTTTAGTTCTTATAGCAATCCTCTAAAAATTGCTTTTAAGCATTTTCAAGCATTTAAGAATTTTTAGGCACTTAAGTGTGGTTTTACTATAATTATTGTGAGAGTAAAGTTTGTTATCGTAAATACATAAACCCTACCTATAAGTAATTTAAGATGTTTTTCATATCTTAATGCAAAATTCAAACAAAACTTTGAACCGTAAACTAATCTCCTTCAAACTTTAAGGGTTTGGCATTATTTATGGATGTTAAAATTTTAAACGACCCTCTATTAAGCTTAGTGTCTGATTTTACACCTTTTAGGTTTTAATACCTACAGTATTAATGTGTCAAATAAGTTTCGGTTTAAAATATACAGAATGGGCCAACAAAAATAACAATAAAAAATTTTCATCTATATGGGTGATTCTACAAAAGTTGGACAACTTGATGTCATCAGTAAATAGAGTAGGTGTTTTAATATTTTTTGTAAATTTTTGTAAAAGATCCGGGTTTTTTTAACTCGTCCACCCAATTTTAATGTATTTTTTTCAAAAGCACGTTTGTAGAAAAACATAATAAATATTCAAAACATCAGTATCTTGGCGTGTCACAACTCCTGAATCAAATATTTGATTATTTTATTTTAAAATATATTCAATTTATATTAAATTTTTCAATTTCACTAAAAACAATGCAAGCGGCGAAGTTGTGGTGAATGCACGTATAGTTCCAGTCAAAATTTCAGTACTTTGGTGAGTAGTTATTTTCTTACGTATATAAATTTCATTGTAATTAATATAAGGCTGTATGTGATTTGTTGATAAGTAGCATCCACTTATAAAAAATATCAGTAAAATACTTAATTCCGAATTATAATCTCAAATTTGTATCCCATTCATCAGTACCGTGTCGTCAGTTCCATGTTCGATGTTTCGGTTATCTTTTTTTCGCAAACTTAAATTTAAATTCTGCTTGAGCAGAACTTATTTAATGTCATATCATATCAATTTGGTGTGGGTCCCATATCTAATAATTGAGATATCGGTATACCCAAAATCCACCAGCCGCCACTAATGTGTGGTATTATTTGATTTTAAGATATTTAATGTATAATATGCTCAAAGTTGCAATAAATCTTATATTTTCCAATAAATTATGTATTTAATTAGTACCCTGGTATACTCGTCACTTCCCTTGCATTTAAATTTAGAAAACACAGATATTTCGGAAACTGTTTGAAAAAGTGGCCATGGCCCGGTCTGGAACAGTATATTTATTATATTATCTATGTTCTTATAACAAAATACTGTTAAATTTTCTCCGAAAACTATATAAACAAAATGAGGTCAAAAGTTTCCTAACTTTTGTAGAATCACCCATATATATATACAGGTATATATTTTCAAGATGGATGCATACTTTTTACGGCCCTGGTTGTAAGGATTTTATTTTCTGAAAAGGTTTTAAAAATAAAAAGTAAAAATTTGCTAATATCTAATTTTAAATTTTATTAAGACAAAATGTCAGAAACCTGCTAATTTATAAAAGTAATAAAAACAATTCTTGAATTAATTGGTTTAATAATAAAAATGTAATACTGATTTTGAACTTAAACTATAAACCTGTTAAACTGATTTGCATATTTTGAATTGTTTCCATAACAATCGTTCTCATATGTGTAATAAATATAAAATAATTTAAGACATTTTTTGTTTTTTTTTGCTAAGATTTATATAAAAACTTCTTTACTTTAAAGTAACTATTTTTATAGGTTAAAGTTTAGTGGAAAATTTGTATAAAAAATACTTAAAAGGTATATGTTTATAAACATATTATTATTATAAATAATAAATAGGTATATCTATCTACACTGTTTATTTTTTTTTAAATAAAGAGTATTATTATTATTATTATTATTATACAGAATTAAAAAAAACATTTTAATATTATTATTTTTATGATTTCTGGAAAACCAATTATTTAACAAACATTTTTAACGTTAATGCACCATTTTAAGATTTTTATGCTGTTTCTTATATTTTAAAGCAAATTTGTAGAAAGTAATTAAATTTAAATTTTCTGTAAAATAAAAATCAATATAATTTTATTCAGTTTGAAAGAATATAATTCGAATATATCTGAAATTTGTAGTAAGTAAATTTTCTGTAAAATAAAAATCAATATAATTTTATTCAGTTTGAAAGAATATAATTCGAATATATCTGAAATACAAATTTGTTATAAAATGCAAAAATCATTCTTATTCTTAAAATGTCAATAAAAATATAAAATATACGAAAAAATATTATAAATGTAAAAAAAATAAGTAGATAATTTTGAAATTCTATAAAAAATAACTTTATATTCATTTAACTACTGCTATTGCATATTATTGACAATATTTGGGTTTTCTCCTATATTTCCATTTTAACCTCTCCGCATAACAATGGGAATAATGAACTCATTATTCATTATGTTATTATGAAATCATTGTTGGGCATATTAATATTCACTGTGATTTGAACGAATAGGGTTATAAATTGGAGAAAAGTACGGTTATAACTAACTAATATGTTTATTTTTTAAATATACGGGAGGCGAATATATTGATCATTAAAATTACAGGAACGTAAGGTTATAATAAATTTTCTTATTAGTATAAAAAGCAGTATTACACTCGAGAGAGGTATTTTTTGCATCTAATCCTTTTTAAAATATAATTTTATTATTTTTATTACTTTTTTCGATACCTAAACAATGTTTGGTAAACATATATGTATAGGTATTAGGGTTTAAATTGTCGAAAAAAAACGGAAAAATTGGGGGAAAACCTGTTTTTCCGTTTTTTTTTTCAGGCCTTGGAAAAATTGGCTTTATTGGAAAAAATTGATTTTTTATTGGAAAATATACATTTTAAAAAAGTAAAAACTAAAATTTTAACATTATTTTAATTTAAAAAAATATTCTTTATTAAAGAAAAAAACTGGTAAATTGAATTAAATTGATTTAAGAAAATAAAAGTTAACGTTATACAGGGTGAGACATTTAAATTGAAACTTTGAAATATCTCAGTAAGTATGCATTTTACGAAAAAATTTTTAAAATAAAAATTAAATGATTTGAGCGGGGAAATCAATCAGTACTAAACTTGGTCCTCATACTCTCCTCCCTTTAGGAGGAACGTTTCGTTATAACGAAAGGAGGTCTTTTTGTTTGCAAATTAATCTTTGAACTAAATTGATTAAATAATGCTAAACCATGTATAAATAGTTTCTTTATACCTCAATAATATTTATTATTTATAACTAATTACCATTTTTTATACCTCAATTAATTAATTGATAAAAATTATTAAAAATAGTACAATAAACCTTTAAATTAAAGGATTTAATGATGGCAGGTAAAAAGTGACCATGGTGCGCAATTGATAATTATCACCGAATGAAATAATCTATAAAACTTAAACCAAAGGAAACCTAAATATTACTTAAAAAATCGTGGGTACTTAAAAAAATCAGATTTAATTTAACAATTAATACCGAAAATAAAGGTATTTTTATAGAAAAATTATTGCAGAATCGTATACAGAAGAAAAAACGAACAAAATTGATTTTTTTATGAACAAATGTTTTAGACAAAATATACCTTAATTTTTTAAATTTATCATGATTCATATTTTATAAAAAATGTATTTTTACCAAATTTATCTTGTAAAACTATATTTTTAATCCCACTTAACTTTTTATATATTTAGGAATACAATACATCTTATTTTACTATAAACACAATTTTAAACTTAAGAATAACCGCGGTACCAAAGATTTGAAGAAAGCAATATCAATCACAAGTCCTAAGACACATTGACCTACCTTAGTACAAGCCATGTTGCTTCCACCGTCTCGTCGGAGATCAAAAGAAAACACTTTCCGCACGCGCGGTGCTTTCCCGCACCAAGGATCAAGGGCCTCCGCCTCTAACTACTGTACGTGCAACTCGTGGACACAACAACAGCGTCGAGTCCGTTCGAACACCAGACAAACATTAAGCGAAATGATGTGAGGCGAAGAGCGATGGCAGCAGGTGAGAAGCACAGTCCGCGGTCACTAAATATGGTCATCGGCTTTGTCTCGCAATCAGATTTATACACCGTATCGCCGTACAGGCTACCGGCCTTGTGTACTTGCGTTGGGTGGATACGGTTTAGAGGGGACAAGTTCAGTTTTTAATTTTTATGTATTACCAAATACAATAAATAATGCTATAGCATATATGAAAAGTTTTATTTATTTGTAAACCAGCTTGAAACGCACTGAAAAAAAAGATTTCTTACACTGTGTAAAATCCACTATGTATTTTCGTAACCCGATTCTTTAAGTATACTGAAATACTTAATTTGGCATGTTCGTGATCGTCTAGTTAATTTACTTACTTTATAAAAATTAGGACTCTACGTTGTGTATTTACTTACATTGATAATAACGATATTTTGAAATTGGTCAGGTTTAATGAAACGCAAGCATTTAATTTTTAAACCCCTGATTTAATTTAAGCAAAGACAAAGGGGTGGCCCGTTGAGTCAAAGCACAGGGAAAAGGGACCATAAAAACCCTGTCGACTTACACAGTTCAAATAAAAATAAATTACAAAACAAAACATAGTCATATGGGTCATAATCACAAGAATACAGTATAAATAATAAGTGAATAAAATAACATAAAAAGCAGATAAACATATTTCATATAATTTGGATGTTTTTATCAATACTCAAAACATTTTGTACTCAGGTAAAATAGTTATAATAGAGATCGTCATTTTATGACGAAGTGTTTGTTTATTTGATTACCTTACCACGCATCTTCGAACTATTGAACGAGGATACGATTTTATATAAATAAACTACAACAACGACATATTTCTGATAGAAAGAATTCATATGCTTTAACCAAGTGCAGATATTTAACCGTAGCCAATAACCACACTATGGAACAATTGCATACTCTGCGAAGTGATTTAACGACAGCTATGGTGGTCCTATCTCACTAAAGTGTCGCTATATCACAATATGTTCAAATATTCTTACAAAATCAATGTCCAGAACAAGACAAAAGTATTGCAAAAATATACAAACAATTCTGCACACAGAGTTTATATAGGTAATAACATAAAAACACTATTTTTCTTCTAAGGATAAATCCTTTTGAAATAATGCTAATATATTACCCATGTTCAAATATTCATGTATGAGCACTCTCCAAACGAAAATACAAGTACAAATACAGACACAAATAAAATCAACAATATGCAATAAAATAAAATGGTATAAAATATAAATAAAATACAATAAAATAATAAATAGGAGAGAGTCATAACAAGAAACACCTGAACATGGCCAAAACTCTAACCACCAGAAAGTATCGCGCTGAATAATAACATAAAGAGATTTTTATCATATATAGTAACGTTAAAGCCATTATCAAATATTCCAAATAAAGCGCTAAGATAAGCAGTTTAAATCAAAGTCTCTATCCAGAATCTATCAAAAGGTTAAACGATACTATTACCTTACCATGATATGACCTAATGGTAATATCAAATTTAATAATAATAATAAGAGCAATAATAATAATAATAATAATAATAACATTTTATAAACCTTACCCAAATAATACCAATATTATAATAGTAATATAATTGTTAAAAGCTTTAGCCTGAGTACAAATGTAAAGAGTTAAAATAAATAAATACCTTAATACCGAGATGATACACTGAGTTTCATAAACAATAAAATACATTTCAGTTAAATAAAGTCATACAAAGTTATACAAAAGGAAACAGCAAAATCAAGGCCAGTGTAACTCAAAATAAAGAAAATACAAAATAGTAAAATTTAAGTCAAATGTAATTCAGTGTACATGCGACAACATAAAGATTAAAACTCAGTGTATGCGCGATCACAAGATATTAAACCAAAATAATGAAATAGTGATACAATAAAAATCATTACCAAAAATCACTCGCTATTTACACATATTAAAATGATTAGGACCCAAGAAACTAGCAATGATAAACGTCATAGACAAAAATGCGAATTAAATAATATTGTTCAAAATTATAAGCAAATTATAAGCAAAAAACGAGGAGTTGTTTATCATTACTAGCAAATTTACAATTTTTCAAAGTGTACATACCTAAGTAGTTATAGCAGAAAATCGGTAACAATCACAAAAACTATAACTATATTATACTTAATATATTTCACAAACGGTTTCACAGGAGTATCTCGAAGGGCGAGCAAAAACCCTCTGTGTGTATTATATTTCCTAATCTAGCTTTTAAACATCTCGGCCACTTAAGCAAGAATGTGTAATATAAACACGTCTCCCTAATATTTCTACGTTCAGATACAAAGAAGTGGAATTTTAAGACTCAATAGTTTTTTAAAACATAAAATAACTTATAACTATAATATTATTTTTTCGTGGATTATTCAAAATTTCCTTGGTTAAAATAGCGCCAAATTTGAATTTAGAAGTTTATATACTACAGGACCCTTACAGACGCCCCTTTGGAAGATTGGCAGACGGACTCTTGGAGGCTTGGCAAACTTTCAACATCCTTCGCGTCAAATTTGGCCAAACTCATCTGAACGTAGGGCTTGTTGTTCTCAGTCAGGAATATCATACATAAAAAGAAGACAAATAATATCAGCGTTTTATCGCAATAATAATATAAATAAATAATTAAAAAAGTACCAATAAAATAAAATAGAAATACAGTAGGGACTTAGTCAAAATAAAATGGATAAATTAGTAAAATCAATAAAATGAAAAGAACCCACCTGGAAAACAGTATTGTAATGAAGGAATGAAGATGTATGTCAGTCCGTTTAACCATTCCATTTTCCTCCTGGTTATAGTATTTATGACTTGGAATAATCATGTACGCCCCTTAGAATATTGTCCAGTCCATGTCTTGAGTCAGCTACACTTTTTACTTCATCAAATTTTAAAATAAGGTACCATCTCCATTCGTCAAATGTAGTAAAGTTCATCCCTTCCAGTTCCGTGTCCCAAATGAAGTGGAGCTCATCGTATCCATGGATAGTGCACTCGTCAAATTTTTTGCATTAATTGGTTTATGGCAAAAACAAAATAAAACATGTAAAATGGTTCACAAAAAATAATAATAATAACACACAACCAACATTCTTTCACCAGACTCAAACAATTCTCCAATTACTCCTAAATAAACAAAACCTTTAATGAAAAAATAAAATTGGAAAGACTGACAAAACAAATTGTTTAACCAAAATATAGGCTACCTTGTATTGGCATGCTGTAATAGGACAAAAGAAATCGACAGTAAGTAGCTGCTCCGAATATACAAAAAAACTGTTCCCAATACACTTCTGAAAAGTAAATTTGCACTTTTCAAAGTCTCTCAAGACACAACGAATAGCAGAACACGGTCCATGAAGATCCAGCTCACAAAAACCAAGCTATTCACCAGGTGACACCAGAAAGGAAAATAATAAAGGGACGGAACCAAAAAAAAACGTATTTTAAAGCCTGTAAAATAAAATTAGGTTCGTTTACCCCCAAACACAACCCTTGCGTGACATCAATAGATGTTCCACTACGTTACAAAAGAAAATAGTTACATCAACAGATGTTTAACTAAAAAAAACCACCAAAATAGTTACATCAAGAGATGTTTAACTAATGTTTACAAAAGTAATTAAACAAAAACAACCGTCTTCAAAGAAGATTCAGCTGCGCCCCCTAGCACTACACTTAGCTGCGCCCCTTAGTACTTTGCTTAGCTGCCACCATAGAGGTGATTCAGCTTCAGTATTCTAATACGTAACTTCTTACAATGTTTCGAAGCTAGCTTTCAAAGAAAATTCATTTATAGTTGAAGAAATTTTTGAAACTAAAAGAAACAACACAAATTAAAATAAGCAGCTGGCTTCAAGGAAGATTCAACTACTAATACCAAATACTGACTTCAAAGAAGAATCAGCAGTACCAAAAGGTAATAACAACTTATTTAAGTTTAAAACGGACAAAAAAAAAAGAGAAAAAAAACTTATCCCACTGTGCATACACACAGAATATTTGAGCTTAAAATAGTTTACCCACTATATAGAATTAAATGACAACAAACCCTTAAATACAAGAAATAAAGAAAAAGAAAACTAAACAAAGTTAACATACAAAAAAAATATTTACCCCACTGTGCAAACAACACTTGGAAATGCAGAAGAAATATTTTACCTCACTGTGCAAACAACACTTAAAAATGCGTAGGAAATATTTTACCCCGCTGTGTAAAGGCCATAAATCCATCACCCAGACCAATTTCAAACCCCATTATCAATGTATCCTGGTCACGGCACCAAAATGTAAAATCCACTATGTATTTTCGTAACCCGATTCTTTAAGTATACTGAAATACTTAATTTGGCATGTTCGTGATCGTCTAGTTAATTTACTTACTTTATAAAAATTAGGACTCTACGTTGTGTATTTACTTACATTGATAATAACGATATTTTGAAATTGGTCAGGTTTAATGAAACGCAAGCATTTAATTTTTAAACCTCTGATTTAATTTAAGCAAAGACAAAGGGGTGGCCCGTTGAGTCAAAGCACAGGGAAAAGGGACCATAAAAACCCTGTCGACTTACACAGTTCAAATAAAAATAAATTACAAAACAAAACATAGTCATATGGGTCATAATCACAAGAATACAGTATAAATAATAAGTGAATAAAATAACATAAAAAGCAGATAAACATATTTCATATAATTTGGATGTTTTTATCAATACTCAAAACATTTTGTACTCAGGTAAAATAGTTATAATAGAGATCGTCATTTTATGACGAAGTGTTTGTTTATTTGATTACCTTACCACGCATCTTCGAACTATTGAACGAGGATACGATTTTATATAAATAAACTACAACAACGACATATTTCTGATAGAAAGAATTCATATGCTTTAACCAAGTGCAGATATTTAACCGTAGCCAATAACCACACTATGGAACAATTGCATACTCTGCGAAGTGATTTAACGACAGCTATGGTGGTCCTATCTCACTAA